GGTGACAAATAAAAATGCGGGAAGAAGAGTCAGAACGATTGATGTTGAACGATTAGAATAGGTGTCCCCCGTTGCAACAACGCACGGACAATTACGATAGTTTATAAGAAAAATAAGATACTCTGGCAGGCTAGCGCTATGTTTGATAGCAAATTATCATAAAAACTAAAGTATCAAAAACTATAGTAATTTTGTCAATAGGTATACCATACTATGGTTTTAATTTAATAGAGTTTTTTGAAGTATTCAAAATACAGAGAACATGTTTGGCTTGGCTACACCATACGATGCTGTAAATTTTGCTAGCTAGCCGTTAGCCTCCAAGCAGACGCATCTAGCTACGCGCAGCTGGCCGGTTGTATTGCGTCAAAATAGTTGTAGGTTGGCTGACCCTCCATAAGAATAGAAGCATGCACAAAGGACGGAACGACGGCTATCTTGTACAGTATATATTTTTAAAGGCCATGCAACACGGCGTTGCCAGTAACTCACCGGACGGCAGAGCTACGCAAGCGGCCCCATTCTTTTGTGTCACCATTGAGGCGGAGCGGAGCTGCGCACAGAGGGAGCGAGGCCTTTTTTTAGATCGAGAGTTGTTGAGTATAGCGGGGAAGAAGATAACGAGGACATGGAGCATGCGATCCCGAGCACCAGTGATCGCGGATGAACAGTAAAATCCGAAAAAAATAGTAAAAGTTCAAAAAATTCTGAATTTTTTTTAAGAAACTTTGATGTTTTTTCTACATGCATGCCAATTTTCATGATGAAATGACATTTGTGGAGGTCTCGGCAAAAAAATAAAATCATGCTCAATAAAACTAATTTTGGAAGCATTTTGCAGCATCAATTTTTTTTTTGCCGAGACCTGCATGAATGTCATTTTGTCATGAATTTTGCACGCATGTAGAAAAAACATCAATATTTGTTGCCAAAAAATACAGATTTTTTTGAACTTTTTAAATATATTTTTCGTGTGTACTGTAGCAAAAGGTGCCTGTGAGCTCGAGCTCACAATAGCACTTCCAGGCCAGATTCTTCTTTTCAGCTGCTCTGTTTTTGAAAAAGAGGTCCGAGGTTCTTTTTATTAAACAGAGAAAAAACCACAAACCACAGTTTGACCAATATTGCAGTATTAAAATCACAGGTGTTAGGGGTAACCAACAGCTCATTGTAAATAAAACTCGGTGGTAATCTTAAAAACTATAGCATTTTTAAAATACTTAGAAAATACTTTGCTCTCCGGCCTAGACCTTATATCCATTCATCATTTCATTTAGTACGTGGGAACTTAAATATATAATATAATAATAAATCAATTTAAGCTGCTCTGGCCACGGGGTCGCAGGCAGGACCAAGCCCGATGAGATTGACCACGGGCCGGGCCCGGGTGTGCATCCTGGGCACCGTCACGGTCAGTACGCCGTGGGGAGCTCCTAACGGGCGCCTTTAGCGCCCGTTGGCAGTTCGGGCGCCCACGCGGCTGTGAACTGCGCCGGCCCAGGATCGCCTGCTTCGCTCGCCCCTTGTTCGCCTCCTTCGCTCCCATCGATCAGAGTTCACCGGTCGACAGCTGGCCAGTTGACCGGTCAACTGTTGACTTTTGACAAAAAAAATTAAAAGAAAATCTTGAATTCCAATTTTTAGTTTTTTTTGGAAAGAAAGTCCAGAAACATAAAAAGTTCATGAACTTGAAAAAACATTGATTTTGAAAAAAAATCAGCAAATATGAAAAATAATTCATCGATTTTGGAAAAAAGTTCATCAAAAATGATTAAAAGTTCATCAATTTTGAAAAGGAGTTTGTCGATTTTGAAAAAAGGTTCATCAAATTTGAATAAAGTTCATGGAATTTAAAAAAAAATGTATTTTTCGTTTTTTGTTCGTGATTTCAAAATGTGTTCATAGTTTTAAATTTATACACATTTTCAAATTTTGTTCACAATTTTAAATTATTCAGTGTACATCAAAAAATGTTCAATGGGTATTTAAATGGTTTTTCAGCTGTCGGGGAAACTGATCCACGAACACCTATGGGGCCGGCGGACCGAGCCCCTTTCGGTTCGGCGGGGGGCGGAGGTCGCACGAAGAGCAGATCGAGGCGAAGCACACGGCAGTTTACCCAGCTTCGGAGCTCTCTGGAGAGATAATACTCCTACTGCTGCTTGTCTGATTCTATTATGTTCTTGCTCGAGAGTGAGCTAAGTGTTTTCTGGCTTGCGAAAATGAGTCGACCCCCTTCTACGTTGCGCATGGGCCTCCTTTTATACGCTAAAGAGGTCACCGACAGGTGGCAACGTAAACAAGGGTACAGATGTAAAAAGCGAGGTGGTTGGTACAGTTGCTTGTACAGTGTTTCCTACCTAACCCTGACGGCGGGGGACAAGGGCATTAAATGCCCGTCTGTGTCGCCCAAACAGTGCAGGAAGGTACCGTCAGGGACGCCACCGCTCGCCACGACGGCAGTCTTGTCAGCTCCGCATGCCACCGCGCACCGCTGGCTGCACAGCCTTCCGCCACGCGTGCCTGGAAAGGCCCCCAGAGCGACACGTTGGTGGATGTGCTGGAGCGTGGGTACAGAGTAGCCGCCTGCCGCGGCAAGCGTCTTGCCGCGGCTGTTGTCTTGTCGGGTCCGGAAGCTTGTCGCTCACCGGGCCTCGAGATGCCTTGGTTGGTCTTCCCGGCAAACTCCTCTTGCCGGGGCCTTGTTGCCTTGCCGGGGCGCGTGGCGCGTCGCGGCAAGTTCCTTGGGATGCCTTGGTTGGCCTTCCCGGCAAGCTCCTCTTGCCGGGGCCTTGCCTCCTTGACTTGAATACTTTGTTCTTGAATGACTCCAAAGGAAACCACGGAAGACCTTGGCGGTCGCCCGGCAAGCCTTGCCGCGGGGCGCTACAACTGCCCGTGCACAAGTTCGGGGTACTAGGATACCCCTACTCTAGTACACCGACAGGAGCCCCCGGGCCTGGGCCACACACGATGCCGAGCGCTGTTGGGCCAGGCCCAAAACAGGGCACGGGCACACACGGCCTGGGCCACGCCGAATCTTGCTCCGTATCCACCGCGCCCTCCCCTAACGGCACGCGTCAAAGATGTCGGGGAAACTGATCCACGAACACCTATGGGGCCGGCGGACCGAGCCCCTTTCGGTTCGGCGGGGGGCGGAGGTCGCACGAAGAGCAGATCGAGGCGAAGCACACGGCAGTTTACCCAGCTTCGGAGCTCTCCGGAGAGATAATACTCCTACTGTCGCTTGTCTGATTCTATTATGTTCTTGCTCGAGAGTGAGCTAAGTGTTTTCTGGCTTGCGAAAATGAGTCGAACCCCTTCTACGTTGCGCATGGGCCTCCTTTTATACGCTAAAGGGGTCACCGACAGATGGCAACGTAAACAAGGGTACAAATGTAAAAAGCGAGGTGGTTGGTACAGTTGCTTGTATAGTGTTTCCTACCTAACCCTGATGGTAGGGGACAAGGGCATTAAATGCCCGTCTGTGTCGCCCAAACAGTGCAGGAAGGTACCGTCAGGGACGCCACCGCTCGCCACGACGGCAGTCTTGTCAGCTCCGCATGCCACCGCGCACCGCTGGCTGCACAGCCTTCCGCCACACGCGCCTGGAAAGGCCCCCAGAGCGACACGTTGGTGGATGTGCTGGAGCGTGGGTACAGAGTGGCCGCCTGCCGCGGCAAGCGCCTTGCCGCGGCCGTTGTCTTGTCGGGTTCGGAAGCTTGTCGCTCACCGGGCCTCGAGATGCCTTGGTTGGTCTTCCCGGCAAGCTCCTCTTGCCGGGGCCTTGTTGCCTTGCCGGGGCGCGTGGCGCGTCGCGGCAAGTTCCTTGGGATGCCTTGGTTGGCCTTCCCGGCAAGCTCCTCTTGCTGGGGCCTTGCCTCCTTGACTTGAATACTTTGTTCTTGAATGGCTCCAAAGGAAATCACGGAGGACCTTGGCGGTCGCCCGGTAAGCCTTGCCGCGGGGCGCTGGAACTGCCCGTGCACAAGTTCGGGGTATTAGGGTACCCCTACTCTAGTACACCGACATCAGCGTATATCACAAAATTGTTCAATGTGTAGTTAAAAAAAATTCAGATTATATTACAAAAATGTTCAATGTATAAAATTTGTTCATCTTATATAAAAAAAATGTATAAATATGTTTTAAACTAAACCACAAAAATGTTCGCCGTGCAGTTAAAAATTGTTCATCGTACACCAAAAAAAATGTTCATTGTATATTTGAAAATCGCTCATCGTATATAAATTTTTGTTCATGTTCTCAATAATTGTTCATGTTTTAAAAATTGATGGAATTTTAAAATTTTAAAAAGTTCACCAACCATGAAAACAGTTCATCAAGATTAAAAAAAAGGTCATCAATTTAGGAAAAAAGTTCATCGATTTGAAAAAGAGTTCACGGGTTTTCAAAAAACGGTTCACGAATTCGAAAAAGTTCATAAAGTAGGAAAAGGTTCATCGATTTTAAAAAAAAGTTCATGATTTGAAAAAGATTTCACGGATTTTCAAAAAGGGTTCACGAATTCAAAAAAGTTCACCAATCATGAAAAAAGTTCATCAAAAATGGAAAAAGGTTCATCGATTTTGGAAAAAAGTTTATCAATTTGAAAAAGTTCATTCATTTTTGAAAAATTCACATAAAATCAAAAAGTTCTTCAAATTTGACAAAAAAAACTCACAAAACTTTCAAAAGATCATCGCTCTTTCAAAAAAAATGCTCATGCATTCAAAAAGAAAAAAAACAAATGTAAAGAAATTAAAAGAGAACGAACAATGAAATAAAAAACCATCACAAAAAGCTGTCCAGAAAAAAACAAAAACGAAAAAACCGAGCTGGTAGCTTCCAAAGACCGAGCTTCCACGAACTGAGAACAACATAAGAAGAAAAACGAAGAGATTAGTCACAAGTGTGAAGAAGTCGTGGTGGTTAGTGCCTTCGCTGACTAAACGGTTGGTCTTGTGTTCGAATCTTGTTGCCGCAACATTTTTTGGAATTTAACAGAAGAAGAAAAAAGTTAAATGGGCTGGCCCATGTCGCATCGATGGAAGGAGGCGGGGTGTGCGCCCGTTTGCGCCGACGCCTGTAACGGGTGCAACGGGCGCCATATAGGAAATGCCTACGCCGTGGCCGTACTCGGCCGTGATGCCGTCGGCGTCCACCATCCCCGGCAGCCGGAACTTCCTCGCGAAGCTGCCTCGGCGGCCGTGGACTTCCGCGTCACCAGCGTCCAGCTCGGTGCGTATGACGAGGTACCTCCCGTCCTCAATCTCCACCCTGATCTCCTCCTTCCTCACGCCTAATCGAACGTACACCACTCATGTCGATGTCACGGCCAAAATTAAGAAACAGAAATAGTGCGGGGAGGAGCGGCAGGAGCGGGCCGAGTTACCGGGGAGGTCGGCGGAGTAGATATGCGCGGCGCCGGTCTCATCCCAGCTGACGTGGTTGGGCGGCCGCGTCGACGGAGCCGGAGGCGAAGAGGAAGAAGCCAGGACGGAGAGCTGCCACTGCCACCACTGCCATGGATGAACCGCCCGGAATCCTTGGTGCTGCTGCACCCCCCGCATCGGGTAATCCATGGGAATCTTTTGTAAACTAGTGCTGCCTTCTTGTTCTGTTAGCTTTGCTTTGCCGCATCTGTATAGTTCATTCGCTCTAAATAGCAGAGCTCAGGGTGAAGCTGCAACTTGCGTCGCAACATGTGCGGTGCCGCGCCCATGTGCGGAAAAGCAAAGCGTACGTCAATCGACAGGACGCTATCGCCTGCGAATAATATCTCGGTAGCTGGGAGGGCTCTGACACTCGTGGACATGGCGTACGGCTTGGTCCACGACTAGAAGGGCTGTGTCGTTGGTATTGTTTTTGTGGGAGTGACTACTATAGAAGAACAGCTTGTGGTGCAAAAATAGAAAAACGGATCTGGGCCGTCAGATATAGTGTGGATGGTACAGATACTAGTGGAGGGATCCTAGGCCACTTAATGTGCATTTTATGAAAACACCCTGCTGGCAGTTAGATGTCAAATAGACTTTTGCAGTAACAACCTTCACTTTTTCATGTCCAAACGTTCTGTTATAAGACTGTAATATCTTCACACGTTCATTCCTGCTCCCTCCTTTTGCACATATGTATTGCATGCCTATTAAGTACAATACTGGGTTCCACCACATCAACTAATTATGCCAGAAACTTGAACAAGATGATCAATCAAGAGTATGTAAACATCTGTCAAAGATATTTAAGTACATGAAAAAAAATCAAAACACCCTCTTGGCCTCTTCAACTACATGGCCAACTGGACCATCACAGGCACTAATGAGTGAGTACGTGTAAGTTGAACCATCTCAGGCACAAGGAATTCTACATATCAAACTGGACTATCCCTAGAACAATTGTTGAGTACATGTCAAACTAGAGCATCCCAGGCACAACACAAGAAGATATACATAAAGTTATAAATAACATGACAGGATCAACAACCATTGCTAGCGAAAACTGCATCAACGTTGCTACTTTGATGGTACAGAACAGTTGCCTCCAGCCGTAGTGCTTCTTGCTCGAGCTTCTTGTCCTGGGAGACATCAAACTAACAAATGCGATTGAGTTAGCACAAGTCCATGTATGTGTCATACATTCATGCTTAAACCTGTGTGCTGCACATACCTAAACTATGTTTATGCTAAAACTGGCAGACAAGCCAACTACTTTGTGGATCATCCTAACTTACCAATAATGTAACAAATTATATAAACATTATTTATCCTGTACAGGAAAAGCACTCCAGTGCATTTTATTCATATAGTCAGATACAAACAACCGGCGGAATTAGGCAATACAATTATTTTTACATATAAGCTTGAGCTCACATGAGAAAGCAGAATCCTATTAGAAATCCATCCTTTATAAGCCTTGGCATTATCAAAGTCTGTCGAATGTAAAAATAAGAAAAAAAACATATCATATGATAAAATAATATGATGAATCCTCGAAGCCACTGGACATTTTTATCAGTCAAAACTGATCACGAGTTCGAGAAGAATAACATTAGCAGAACCACCCTAATATAACTAGTGAACCATGTATTAAGTATAATAATACACGCAACAATGTCTATTCTCGACATTGTATAGCGTGAAAAATATGCACGCTGCAAATAGTCATTTCTACACTTACCATAACATCATCACTATAGAAGCATTGCGGAATTAATCGTTGAGCACTGTTGACCAATTCCATGGCTGCAAAGAATTTTCACGAACATCACACATGGGATCAACATAATGTTAGGCACATCAAACATATTCTTACTTTCTTGGACCGATGTTCTCACCTGATAGTGCTGCTGCACATGCTATGATCACTGGAATTATGGGCTCTATTAAAGGCGATGCCGAACTGCTCCCGTCCATTACTGGATCCTGAGATGAGAATTACAACGTGAGGAGTGAAATAAGCTTTTCTAGGGCAGATGTTAGGCACATGGATCACATCAGTGGCATAGCCTACGGCAAATACTATAGTTTAGCCACAAAAAGGAATATATTATAAGGTCTTGTTGCAACTTGTGCATCGTAACACTCATGGTCAAGACATTGTTAGGAGTTATAGAATGTATGATCATGGATGTGTCTGAGTGAAAACTGAAGTTGAGGAGTAACAACAGGAATTCAATTGTCACCATGGAGCCCGAGATCATTTATCTTTCAAAACAACAAGCAAGAACCTTTGCTTTTCTAGTGACTCGTAACTCATAATAAGGTCACAAAGCCGCAGGAAGATGTGAAATACAGGTTCAAGATTTTTCTGTTAACAAGGTTTATTAATGTACAACATACAACTGATGATTTCTACCTCAGTTGGGTTTTCAGGAATCAGGATTATTGTGTGCGCCGGTATACAATAACTCTCCAAACAAAAACTCTATTTGACCAGAAAAGAACTCAACAAGAACAAATCGTATTTCATTAGTGCATCCTAAGTTTGTTGTCGGAGTCTACTAGCAATAATTCTTTGGCATTCTATTCTTACTCTCCCGGGGTAATTTCTCTCCTTCCCACCTTATATATATTACAGTAGCACTAGTAGTACTACGGATGTACTAGTAGTCTAGTACCCATTGACATCCTAGCATACAGTAGAATAAGGAGAAGAAAAAGAAATCTAGGCTTGCTATATGTGCCACTTAGATAGGTATTTCAGGCTGTACAATTTGCTGCCCCTTACTATTAAGGTCAGATTCTACTTGCCCAAATGTTACATTGGTTAATTTGTTTTTTCTCTTCTTTTCACCAAACATATATAATGTATGCTCATGGATCGAGTCTGCTAATGGCTCCATCCATGTCTCGAACTAATGGTCAGAACTCAGAAGGGTGTGTCTAGAACTGCTAAATTATACTAATACAATACATTTATTATAGGAATTGGTAATTGTAATCTTCACAATTAAAAAGAGCTAACTGTCCATCAACTTTTCACCGAATGGATGCGTATTGTGACGAATGGAACAACCGTAGATATTAATATTTTCAGCGCAATGTCCTAATTTCAAATTGAGGATTATCTACCCGTCCTCAACCTACTAACTTGGTTCTCCAGAGTACTTAACAGTTAAACAGAATGTCCAAATTAGACTGTCAAACCACCAAGAACAGTAGCAATACATCATCAAATCGAAGTTGCAAAAGTGCATCATTCACACACGAGCTGATTTGACATGAACAAGTACAAGAAAATAAAACTATAGATATGCATCATACACTCTACTAGCTAATAAAATTGAGATGAAGCACAAAAGTACTAGCTAATACTACTCCCTCTGTTCCTAAATATAAGTCTTTTTAGAGATTCCACTATGAATCACATACGGATGTATATAGATGCAGTTTAAGTGTAGATTCATCCGTTTTGCTCCGTATGTAGTCCACCTAGTAGAATCGCTACAAAAACTTATATTTAGGAACGGAGTGATACAAGTTAACATCTACTCCATCGCAGGTGAATGATTAACCACCAGAAAAATTGAGATGGAGTATTAACTTGTGGAGTATTTACTAGAAAAATTAACCACCATGGTGACACCTTGTAGCTTAGCACCACGTCACAGGGGCCGGTCCGGAAGGAGCCGAGGAGCTCACCAACGACTTGCAGCCGACGAGGTCGAGGAGGACGCGGGCTGATGCTGTAGAGGCGGTGACGAACCAGCCTCTGCCGGAGCCTGAGATGGGAGGCCGTGACGAGCACACTGTGGCGCGGATCTTAGCAGTCCACAAGCTCCGATCTGGTCGGCTTCAAACTAGGCCATCGGCGGCACCGCGGGCACAAGCCATCGGAGAGATGGAACATCACCTCCGGTGTGCGTACTCGCTGGTTGAGGGGTCCGGCCCGGCGCCGTCGCCGCCGTTGTGGAGGGGAATTTTAGGTCGCTGCAACTGCGTACGTACGGGATTGGGTTTGAACAAGGACATGGGGAAGAAATTAACCTTCAGCAAGGGAGCTTTTTGCAAGTTGTACGCCCAGATCGCTACACCTGAATCTGGGTCATCGATCATCCATCCAATGGTACAGATTCGTTTTTTCTATTTTTTCACCTCAGGCTGTCATTCTGTTGTAGTCGCTCCCTGTTTTTGTAAACTGAGAAGATCAGGGAGAACTGATCACCACCCTTGATTATGCTCTAGACTGCGTCATATATACACTTACAGGACGGCATCCTGGGGAGATCATGGGTGCTCCACTACTAGAGATCATGCGCCACTAACACTGCAGGAGGGCGCCACGATCACACGCACGCTCTACACTGTATGCCGTAGGCGATACGTACACACATGCGATATACAAATGCAGTATAGTCTAACACCCCCCCGCAGTCGTGACGGCGGCGGCGGCGACGCAAAGACTGGATCGAAACTCCGAGAAAACGTCTGACGGCAGGCCTTTGGTCATGATGTCGGCGAGTTGTTGACGCGTGGGGATGTGAAGAACACGAAACTGGCCGAGGGCGACGCGCTCGCGGACAAAGACGATGTCGAGCTCCACGTGCTTGGTCCGTCGACGATGCATAGGGTTGGCCGACAGGTAGACAGCAGACACGTTGTCGCAGTACACCAGCGTCACCTTGGGCACCGGAGCGAAGAGCTCGCCGAGAAGTTGGCGAAGCCAAATGCACTCAGCAACGGCGTTGGCGACGCCGCGGAATTCGGCCTCGGCGCTGGACCGCGAGACGGTTGCTTGGCGCTTGGAGGACCAGGAGATGAGTGCATCGTCGAGGTAGACACAAAAGCCAGACGTAGAGCGGCGCGTGTCGGGGCAGCCGGCCCAGTCCACGTCGGTGAACGTGCGGAGATCCAGAGTGCTTGGGGCGCGGAGATGAAGGCCGAGTGCACATGAGTCGCGCACGTACCGGAGCACGCGCTTGACGAGCGTGAGATGGCACTCGCGCGTTCATGCATGTGGAGGCATATCTGCTGGACGGCGTAGGCGATCTCGGGCCGCGTGATGGTGAGGTAATGGAGGGCGCCGGCGATGCTCCGGTACGCGGACGGGTCAGCAACGCGCGGCCCGTCAGCCGAGGGAAGCT